GTCATCCCTTCAGCCTCTACTTTTATTATCTGTACTTGTATGCTCTAAGATTTATTCTAGCATGTGCATCATTCCTACCTGAGGGGGAAAATATTCAAATGGTTTTTAAGGAGCTGGGTGTTGGTGGCACATGCCTTTATCCCTGCAGAGGCAGGTGAATCTCTGAGTTTGAGACTAGCCTGGTCTACAAATGGAGTTCCAGGACAGTCAGGGCTACATAAAGGAACCCTGTCTCAACAAAGCAATAACAGCAAAATGGTTTTTAAGAATGCCATTTTATAATATGTTCAGGGGGTAATAGCCCCACAGTGCTGAGGGCAGGTATGTTTTGGGTTCCTGAATGAAAAGTTTCCTTATCTCCAGAATTCCATATTCCCTCTATAGCAAACATCACTGAGGCTCAGCCATCTGTAGATTACCTTGTAAGTACTGCCTAGGCCTTTGTGTACTACTCATCTGTCAGGCTGTGGGTCCTCTGTGGTTTTTGATGGAACTTCATGAATCCTTCCCAGCATTCCCACTTCCTTGGGCAGTCAAGGTGGGTTTTGGGAGATATACCACACATAGAAGTGTTCCAACCTGTTCTGGTCTGTTTTGAGGCCAGCATGGGAGCCTCAAATTCAGGACACATCTTCCTCGAACGTTGCCAGCTTGTATCCACTAGAGGGAGCCAGAACCCTATACAGCTGGCTCCGCTGGTGAGACAGTTTCACTAATCCCAAATAGAGCCATCACTGCATCACCTGTTTCATTTCTGAATTCTCCCTGTTATATTGGCCCACAAATATCTACTTCCTCAAAATATGAGAATTTAATGGATGATATAAAATTTTAAAATAAACTTTTTCTGTGTGTGAGATGCATGTGTACACACACACCAAGAAAAAAGACTGCCATGTGGTGGTGGCCTTTAATCCTAGTACTCAGAAAGCAGAGGCAGGCAGATCTGAGTTGAGGCCAGCCTGGTCTACAGAGGGAGTTCAGGACAGCCAGAACTAGAAACTCTGTCTAAACCAGAAAAAAAAAAAATAGAAAGAAGAAAGTCTATGAGACACTGAGCACTGGAAAAAGGACTCACCTGAACTGAGATGTCCATGAGCAAAGTAAGCATAAGGCCTCAGTACTGAACAGCCACATGAACAGCCATGTTCACTTTAATTCATAAAACACTTACTACATGATGAAATCATATCTTAGAAGTACCGACTTAAAGATTAGTTTCACCTGTTTCTTCCCTTTTAATTATGTATGGATGTGGGCATGTCACACTTGGGAGTAGAAGTCAGGGACAACCAAGGGATTTGGTTTCCTCCCTCCATCATGTGGGTTCCCAGAATAGAACAAAGGTGTCAGACTTGACAAGTGGCTTTGCAAGCTGAGCTATCACCTATTTTCTTCTAAAGTCTTTCCTCATAAAATTTTCCTGCTATTATGTCCTGTTACATCACGTTCGTGGTTACAATGCATTTCTTTGGACCATCCTGGTCTACAAAAAATGCTAGTAACAGCAGTCAAAATGCCAATGTTCTCATCTAGACCACAGGATTATAGGTTCACACTATTTTGTTAATGTGGTTTCAATTCCCTACAAGGAATTTCTTGTAAGATAAAAAAGAAAATCAATTTCCAGCTTTTATAAAGTGGGTAGGGCTTTCTAGTATTGTGTCAGAAAGCCTTAGTTGTGGTGGGTGTGTGGGATGGATTTGTGGAATTGAGGAGGCTACCTAGGCACTCAGCACCACTGCATGTGGAATGCTACATCGGCGAGGAGCAGAGACTTGCTGATTGTTGGGTCTTGCTTGTTTCCAGTTTAGCTTCAGGTTCAGTGAGTGTGGTGCTTTGAATGAGAATGGACCCCATAGGCTCAGATATTTGAATTCTTGGTCCCCGGTTGGTGGAACTTCTCTGGAAGATTAGGATATATGGGCCTTGTTGGAGAAGGTGTGTCATTGGGGTTGAGCTTTGAGGTTTCTTTTTTCTTTTTGAGACAGGATTTCTCTGTGTAGCCCTGGCTGTCCTGGAGCTTACTCTGTAGACCTGGCTGGCTTCCAACTCACAGAGATCAGCCTGCCTCTGGGATTAAAGGCATCCACCACCACTGCCTGGTGGGCTTTGAGGTTTCTATACCCCTGCATACTGTTTCCAGTGAGGCCTCTCTGCTTCCTATTTGCAGACGAGGATATAAGCTTTCACTCACTGCTCCAGAGTCAGGCTTGCCTGACTTCTTGCTGCCATGCTCCCCACTGTAATGGTTATGAATTCACTTCTGGAACACAACAAATTAAAAGCTTTTTTTATAAGTTGCCTTGGACATGGTGTCTCACAGCAGTAGAAAGATAGTGAGAGACCCTGTCTGATGGGAATAATGGGAATGTGATAGAGCAGGTCACTGGATGTCCTCCTCCCAAACACCGGACAACACACACATACAATAATAATGATGATGATGATGATGATGATGATGATGATACCCAGAGGCCACATAGTGAGGGTTTGTCCA